GTGGAGCTCAGGACGGACGAGGTGACTCTTGCAGGACGCCGCCCGCCCCGCGCGCCCCGCGCGCTCTCGCGCGCGCGCGGGGAGAGTGGTTTGCATCCGAGCGGATGGCTCTAGTCTTATGTCGGGCGTGTCCCCCTACAGAGGGATTTTCGACGACAAATAAAACATACCCCAAACATACCCCATAAAGGTCAACAAATACTCGAAAGAGAGTCCCCAGACTATTTTTGGACTTTTTTTTTTTTTTTTTTTTTTTTTTTGTTTTTTTTGTTTTTTTATTTAAATATTTTTTTTCGTCGAACATCCCCCTGTAGGGGACAGGCCCGACTTAACTCTAGTCCTTCGGGCCAGATGCTTCTTCCGCTCCTTCCCTTGCCTTTTCCTCGTCCCTTCCCCTGTCACGTCCTCCTCCTCTAGCGCTGCGCCCGTACGGAGCGCCGTTATCAAAAGTGTTCTAGGCGCGTGCCCCACATCACAAAGGGTACCGACAGTGACCCAGCCCTGGATTTTGGCTCAGCTGGACGACCAGAACCACTACTGCTACCGCGGTCCGTTCTGGAAGCTCATTTCGCCGCCAAGACCTGACCCGCTGCTGGCCGAACCCCTGACCTTTCGCTTCAGTTTCCGCACCGACAGGATGAGTGAGGACACAATTCAGCATGCTGCGCTTTTTTCCCGTATCTACATTCACAGACGAGATCTCCACTTTCGAGGGCGCGGTAGCATCGGAGACAGCAGCACGGATCGCCCGTGTACAGCTCGCGCTCGCCACACCACGCGCGCAATTCGTACAGTTTTGCAGCCGCAGTCGCAGCTCTCGCAAGTTGGCCATCATATCATTGCTGGTCCGCGGCCCCTGGACGGGCCCTCTGTGCCACGAGGCCTCCTCCACCTCCTCCTCCTCCTCCGCACCTAGCAGGTTCACCGCTCCAGCATCAGCAGGCAATCCAGAGGATGGACTGCTTAATGATAATTTTGATTTGAGATTTGCAGCGAGTGCAGAGTGCACGTCGCGTCAGAGATCGATGGAGCTCATGGTGGTCAGTCAGTCAGTCAGTCCTCTTCCACGTCTTCCTGGCCCCTGCGTGGGGGAGGACCCTGCAGGTAGGGTCAGAGCGCTCTTTGTTTTGGTTACAGACGTGTTGCTACGCAGAATTCAACGCATTTGCCCGCCAGCCCTGGTGAGAGCATTTGCGCGCGACGTTTCCAGCATTCTCCGCACGTATAGGGAACTTTCTTTGTTCTCTGGCCTTCGTTTGAACATGTCCAAAACCGTGGTGATTCCTTTGTGGGAAACTACGGGGACAAAATTCCGTCGCAGCGTGCGGGACATGCTGCCCTAATGGTCTGGCGCTCATTTTGCAACTCCTGCCACGTATCTTGGCTTTGAGGTGGGGCCTGACCGTTCCGACTCCACTTGGGCGAAAGCCGTTGCCAAGTATGCGAAACGAGCTAAGCAGTGGGCGGAATGCCGGCTTGGATTGCATTTTTAACGTCAGGGTTTATAACGCATTCGTTGTCACCTGTCTGTCGTATATCTGGCAATTCAGCGAGCCGACGGGGGAGCTCCTCGCCAAGGAGGCGTCCGCCCTCTCGCGGCTGTCTCCGGGCCCTGGCGGTTGGCGGAGTGCTGCAGATCTGTGCAGTCTATAATCTTTGATCGGATTCCCAGTGGAGTTCGTGTGCCTTTCCGGCGCTGCGTGGGCCGCTAAGCTCAGGGTCGCCGGCGCGGTCGTTAAGGACTTTTCTTTTCTGGCTGCACAGTTGGCAGAGGCACAAGTCGATCACCTCTCGCTGGCAACGACCGCAAAGTGGAGGACCTGGTATGGTTCACACATCGCTTCTGTATTGAAGAGAGCCGTGGACCAGGCCAACCCGCTCCGCATCAGTCCTTCTGCTGTGCAGAGCGAACTGTACGCTGCGCTCCGCGCGCACACCCGAGCAGACGGCTGCAGGTGGAGGCCCGTTTCCGGCATCAGCTTGCCAGGTGGCAGACTTCGTCGCCAATCGGCATTCTGGCCAGGCGCGTGCCTCTCATTTTCGCCAGACTCCGCAAGCTGACGCCGCCACGGGTCACGTCCGCTGTTTTCAGAGCCCAGTGGAACGGGTGGTGCACCGCCAGAAGGTTTCAAGAAGACATGGCTGGCTGCTTCGGTTGCTCGAGCACTGCTCGCGACTGCATTAGCACTACGCACACTGCCCTTCCGTTTCCAAGTTAATAACTACGTTTTTGCGGCTTGCGGAGGTCTCTCTGGCAAGCTTTCTGTGCATAGGGCACGCAGAAGACGCAGCCCTATCACTTCATGCTCTTGCAACATCTGCTGTCCACCTTGCCTCAAACCACTTGCGCGGACAATCGAAGCCGACAGCCGCGGTTGTTAACGACGCGCTCGAGCAGTGGTGCAAATCGGGAGCTGCTGGACACGCTGCTCTCACGCGCACTTTCGACTCGAGGTGGTTTTAATGCAGGCTCCTGCTTGCTATGCAGGCCCTTCGGCGGAGCCGGGCGCTGCTGCTTTTTATTGTCCGTCCCTCTCCCTCTCCTCCCTCCTCCCCCTCCTTGTCCCCCCTCCCTCCTCCTTCCCCTCTTGTCCCTCGTCGTGCTGGTCGTCTGTCGCGTCTCTCCCTCCCTTTCCTGTCCGCTTCCTCCTGGTCCGGCGCTAGACGTGGATCGTCCTGCTCGGGCCGCGCGCGTTGTGCGTGCCTGGGGCTCGTGCCCCTATCACCCCTTCCCGCCCTCTCTCCCTCCTCCGTCGTCCGCTGCTGCTGCGCTCCTTCCCTCTGTTTCTCCTCCTCCCCCCCTCTTCCTCCTCTCCTCTCCCCTTCCTCGCCCCCTCTTTTTCCTCACTGGTGGAGCCGATACGTTTCAACGATATTTCGTATCGGGCTGGCGGTCCGACGACAGCGGGCTGTTTCACTTCGAGCGCGCAACGAGGATGTGCCCTGAACAAGAAATGCAGGTAGGGTCAGAGCGCCGAACAGCGCCGGCGACCCCCCGTCAACGAAGGGACAAAAGCTGCGATGCTTTGGTCGAGGCAGTGTACCACCGAACTGGCCTGAGAACTCGATGGATCGATCGATCCTCTTCCCATGCCCCCTGACCCTTACTGACCCCCGCCCTCGTGGTCATGGCCCCCAGACGAAATCCATACATATCCACTGCTCCCCTGCCAGGCCCATCCTGAACCCAGGAGCTGTGTATACGCCCTCCTGGCTAAGCCAGGAGGGCGTGGCGTACACACCGCTGCTGGGTACAGGATGGGCCTGGCATTCCGTCGCCCGGTATATAACACAAGCCAGCGCAGGTCTTTTCTGATTCCAGGTCTGATCACGGCGCGGGCGATGGCAACGGCCCCTCGCAGCAGGCATGCTCGAGCTGCTCCCCCAGGAGTTTGGGACCTCCCTCCCCCTCCTCCTCCTCCCCCCCTCCTCCTCCTCCTCCTCCTTCTCCTCCCCCTCCTCCTCCTCCTCCTCCTCCTCCTCCTCCTCCTCCTCCTCCTCCTCCTCCTCCTCCTCCTCCTCCTCCTCCTCCAGGGAGGGTGGAGCGCTGTGGCCTCCAGGCCTCGCCCTCCTGGCGGGCGGCTGCCCCGCCGGCGCCGCCCGCGGCGCCCCGCGGGTCGGCGGGGCACCAGGCTTCCCCCTCCGGGGGGCTGGGGGCAGACGCCTGTCCAGAGGCCTGTCCAGGGGGGGGGGAAGGCTCCGCCCTCCTCCTCCTCCTCCCCCTCCTCATCCTCGATACCTTCTCCTTGTAAACACATCCTTCACCAAGAGGGCCCCCAACAGGCAACATCAAATGATTTGCTTTAGGGTTTTTGAAAGATTCACTGCCCCTCCTCGTCCTCGGGAGCTCCCAGGGCAGCACCCCGGCACCGAGGCAGCCTCTGCACACAGCGGCAGCCCCTGCTGCGCTCCCAGCCCGCCCTGCTGCTGCTCCTCCTCGGCCGCTGCCCCGGCCCGTGCCCTTGGCCCCCCATCGAAGAAGAACACACGGCATATGCATACACTTTTGGCGCTCCGCGCGGGTTTCTTGGATCCGCGCTGGGCCCCCCCGGCCGCGCCGCCCCGCGCGGAGCGACGAAAGTTTATGTTTGTGCCGTTTTTTCTTCTTCTACCCCAGTGCTGCCTCGCCTCCTCTCTGGGCCTCCCAGATGGGGTCGGTGTAGACGGGGTCGGAGGATCGCGCCACATCGCCGACGCATCGGCGATGCGGTCCGATATGGATCCCGATCTTCTTTTCACGCTGGCGTCGCCGATGCATCGCCGACGTCGCAGATGCATCGCCGAGGCGTCGGTCATGCATCGACGATGTGGCGCGCCCCCCCGGCCCCGTCTACTCCGACCCCATCTGGGAGGCCTCCTCGCCTTGCCCCCTGGGAGTGGCGCGCGGCCCCGCGGCGGGTGAAGGCACGCACCTGAACCTGTGCGCGGTGCTCTCGAAGCTCGAGAAGCACGACAAGGCTGGGCGGCCTCTCTCGGGGTCTCTGCCAGGCTCCGGCCTGCCATGGGTCGACTGCACTCGGGGAACAGCCGATGACAGAAGCATGCAGTTCCGGGGGCCCGCGCAGATCTCTCGGATCTGCGCTGGAACCCCCTGCGCGTCGGAGAGGGGGGTCCAGTGCCGATCCAGAAGGCATCCGAGCTGACCTCCGAAGCTGAATCTTTGTGTCAAAGTTTGTCTGTTCCCCCATGCACGTAGGATTAAGTCGGGCCTGTCCCCCTACAGGGGGATTTTCAACGAAAAATAAAAAATACCCCAAGAATAATCAAACAATAGTCCAAAAATAGTTTGGGGACTATTTTTGGGGTATTTTTTGACCTTTTTGGGTTTTTTTTAGGGTATTTTTAATTTTTCGTCGAAAATCCACCTGGGCGGGCGGCCTTCCAAGAAGGCGGGCTGCTCCTCAGAAGGCGGGGGCCTTCTCGGAGGCGCCGGGATGCTGCCAAGTCAGGCATCTCGAGAGCCGGGAGGGCTCCTCAAGAAGCCCCCCCGCCTTGCAGAAGCTCCCCCCGCCCGCGTAGAAGGCTGCCCCCCTCACGCCTCCCGCCCGCACACGCCGCCAGAGCGTGTCGCGGACGTCCCGCGACGTGCCTCGGATGAGGACACCTCTGCAGCTCTACGTTCCTCCTCCTCCTCCTCCTCTTCCTCCTCCTCCTCCTCCTCCTCCTCCTCCTCCTCCTCCTCCTACTCCCCTTCCTCCTCCTCCTCCTCCTCCTCCTCCTGCTCTTGTTCTTTTGAACCGCACGCCGCCAGAGAGTGTCGCCGATGTCCCGTGACGTGCATCGGAGCAAGACAACTTTGCAGCTCCACGTTAGAGAGGAGGAGAAGGAGCAGGAGCAGGAGGAGGAGGGGGAGGAGGAGGAGGAGGAGGAGGAGGAGGAGGAGGAGAAGGGGGAGGGGGAGGGGGAGGGAGGATGGCGGACTTGCACAATCGCTTCATTCTGAGTTCCCCCGCGTGCGGAAAGAGGCGGTGCAGCACTCCCTTTGTGCGCTCGAGCTGATGAGCAAGCACGTCTCTGCGGTGGACACCGACGTCTCGCAGGTCTCGCCGCGACCTCCCTCTCCATGTTTTGGCCCCTCCTCCTGCTCGTCTTCCTGCTCCTCCTCCTCCTCCTCCTGCTCCTCCCCTTCCTCCTCTTATCTCATATCCTCTCCTCCTCTCCTATCTCTCCTCCTCCTCATCCTCATCTTCCTCTCCTCTCTTCGCCTGTCCTTTCCTCCCTTCTCCTCCTCCTCCTCCTCCTTCAACTCCCCTCTTCCTCTCCTCCGCCTCCTTCCCATCCTCGTGCGCGGCGCTGTTGGGTGACAGGTCGCCTGCGTGCCCGCGCGCCTGCGTCCTGCTCCTCCCCGGGCCGCGGGACGGGGGCGCTTCTCGTCGACGCGCCACGGCCAGACGCGGCTCGAACAGCCTGCCAGGTTTGTGCCAACTCGGGCGCGTCCCTCTACAGGAGGACTGCCCAAACATAGTCAAAACATAGCCTCGGGACGATTTTCTATACAGTTTTTTGATTGTCTGTGAGTAGTGTTTGACTATTTTTCGTTATTCTCCCAAAACCCGCCTGTAGGAGGACACGCCCGACCTAATGATTGTGCTTGGGAGAGAGTCAAACTACGTCTCAGCCTTGAGGGGTTCTGATTCGGGGGGGGGCGCTCCGCTTTTGTTTTTCTCCTGGGCCTTCTGTGAACGACTGTGGGGGTCTGTCTGTCGGAAGCGATGTCCCTCACTGGACATCGTCATGAGAGCCTGGAGAGCGCCGCGTGAGAGTCTAGTAATTCGAGGCCGCCGACAGGATGGAGGAGGTGGGAGGCAGAAGTTGGAGAGGAGGGCAGGGGGGAGTATCGGTGAGGATGCGTGGAAGAGGGAGGAGGGGGGACGGGAGAAGAAGACGAAGCAGGGGAAACTACGGACGGCGATGCATGTGGCCACAGGGAGGAGTGAGGAGGGAAAACGATGAACAGGAGGAGGAGGAGGAGGAGGAGACAAGAGGGAGGGGCCTGTGGTGAGGCTTCCTTCCCGTGTGAGGTGGGGGGCCAGAGGGTGTCCTTGTCATAGTCGTCGCAACTCCGCTCAGTCGTTACTCTCTGCAATTGCACTGCAATTGGGCATACAATTGCAGCGCGCGCGTGGTTCTAGTATTTACATCAATACATCCATCCATACATACGCACATACCTATAACCGTACATTCACACATACGCACATCCACACATGCATGCATACATACATACATACATGCAGGCACACAACCATACACATATACATATTTACACACATAAATAGATACGTACGTACTCACTTCCACAGATACATGCATACAACCATACACGCACATAATCCTACGCATACACACATGCATTCATACATACATACATCCATACACACATACATACATACACGTATCAATACACATACATATATACATGCAGGCATGCATGCATGTATGCATGCATACATACACACATGCATGCATACACGCATACATACATCCACACATCCATACACCCATACATCCACATATCCATACATTCATGCATCCATACACCCATATATCCATACCTACATACATACACATACGCACTTACACATACACATACACACATACACATGTACATACACACATACATGTATGCATCCATACATACATACGTACATACATACATGCATGTGTGTGTGGTTGTACTGGTCTCTCTCTCTCTCGCTTGTTGTGATTTTCTATATTATCCTCTCGTATCATCTATATACATATGTTTGTTCGCCAGCGTGGACCCCAAGCAGTTATTTCTTATAATACATACGGTGCACTCTAGGTGGTGCAACCAATGTGATGGAATCTAGCTGGTGCAATCCATGCGGTGCAATCGCGTGGTGGAAAGTAATGCAGCAATGCGACACGGTACAACTAATTGCAAAGCGCACAGCAATGCAAAACAATGTAAAGCAATGCAACGCAATGCAAAGCAATGCAACGCAATGCAAAGCAATGCAACGCAATGCAAAGCAATCCAAAGCAATGCAAAGCAAGACAAAGCAATGCGAACAGTGCAAACCAATGCAAAGCAAGGCAAACCAGTGACAAATAATGCAAAACAAGGCAAACCAAATCAAAGCACATCAACGCAAAGCTACGCAAAGTAATGTAGAGCAATGCAGAGCGAGGCAAAGCAATGCAAAGCACATCAAAGCAATACAAAACAGCGCACAGCAATTCGAAGCAATGCGAAGCAATGCGAAGCAATGCGAAGCAATGCGAAGCAATGCGAAGCAATGCAAAGCGGGCGGCGACGAGGCGGCCCGCAAGTCCAGGCGACGGACGGCGACGAGTGGCGACGGCGGTCACATGGCGGCCTGAGCGGCTCGCAGGCCTAGTTCCGTAAAAAAGAAGAGAGCCCCTATTTGCAAACACTGGTCAGGCAATATATGTTGATTGTTATTGCTATCTATGTCTATGATTGTGAACATTGTATTTGCTATGCTTATTTTGATGATGCTGATTCTTATTAGTGTTCCTGTTGTTGCTATCATTTTTATTGTTCGTATTATTCGTAGTATTATTTCTATTGTTGTTATTATTATTATTATCATTATTATTATTATTATGTATATCTGCTCATTTGTTTAACTAGTTACTTGTTTTTTATGCATTCGTTTTCTGGATAATATATTCTGCATCATGTGCTGGAGCAGCAGAGGCCCCGGGCCCTGGGCCAGCACGTCCTCTCGAACTTCCCCCCCCCCCCCAGGCCTGGTGCCCACCTGGGCCCCGGTGGGCAGCTAGCCCCTCTCTGGACTCCCAGGAGCTTCCTGGGCCCCCCGAGGCGTCCAGCATGGCTCGCGGGGGCGGCAAGAAGCCGCCGAGGCGGCCGAGGAGCGCTCCAGGACGCTCCGGACCGTCCTCCGGACGGCTCAAGAGGCCCCCAAGACGGCCCACGAGCGGCTGCAAGAGGACTCCCATGGGGCACAAGCTAATGACTTGCCATTGTCGTTTCAACGGTTTTCGCGCACTCGCTTTTTCGCGCTTCCAATTGTGTAAGACAGCCCAAGAGTCGCCCCAAACCCTCGCAAGCCGGCTCAGAAGGCGCCAAATTCAGCCCAAGAGCGCTCGAGGAGAGCCCCGAGGGGGGCCCAGAGGAGGAACCCGAACTCACCGAGCGAGCCCGCTCTCGAAGACGGCCCCCGAGGCCGCCGGCAGGGCCCCAAGAGGCTTCCAAGCGGTCCCAGGAGCGCTCGAGGGCCCCCCCCCCCACACAGCCCCCAGGAGCATCGAGACGCCCCTATAAGATTTCCAACTCTGACAAAAAAACCTACGGCAGGCCTTCCAAGAGACACCAAACAATTTCTCAGAGAGCCCTCCAAGAGCGCCCCCCAAATGCATCCACAAAGACCCTCAGCATCATTTTGCCAGGCTCTCTGAGCGGCTCTCGGGCATACACCCTCAGGCTGCCTTGGGTCCTCCTCGTGGCTGCGTTGCAGAGTGTGTGTGTGTGTGTGTGTGTACGTGTGTGTTTATTTGTATATGTATACGTATATGTATATGGATAGGTATGCATACATGTATGTATGTATGTATGTATGTATGTATGTATGTATGTATGTATGTATGTATGTATGTGTGTGTGAATGTGTATGTATGTATGTATGTATGTATGTATGTATGCATGCATGCATGCATGCATGTATGTATGTATGTATGTATGTATGTGTGTGTAATGTATGTTTGTGTGTCATGTATGCATGTATGTCTGTATGTCTGTATGTCTGTATGTCTGTGTGTCTGTATGTCTGTATGTCTGTATGTCTGTATGTCTGTATGTCTGTATGTCGGTATGTCTTTATGTCTGTATGCCCGTATGTCTGTATGTCTGTATGTCTGTATGTCTGTATGTCTGTATGCCTGTATGCCTGTATGTATGTATGTATGTATGTATGTATGTATGTATGCATGCATGCATGCATGCATGCATGTATGTATGTATGTATGTATGTATGTATGTATACATACATATATATATGAATACACATATGTGTGTGTGTGTGTGTGTGTTTGTACGTATACATGATGTGGATGAATGCCGCGTCCCCAGCGCCGGGGTTCCAGGTCACCTCTGTAGCATCCTGGTTGCGCCCGTGTCACCACCGCGAGGGGGCCCTGGGAGGGCCTCAACTGGCCCCAAGACGGTCTCGAGTATTTCCCACGCGGCCGCAGAAGGCCTCAAGACGCACCGAGGAGGCGCCAGGAGGCCCCCGAAACTGCCCACGAGCGCTCCAAGACGGCACAAGATGGCTTCAAGACGGCTTAGGAGGCCCCCAAGATGTTCCAAGAAGGCTCCAACAGGACCCCCAAGAGAGATTCAATAGGCAACAACCAATGATTTCCCATCGGTGTTTGAAGGATTTAAGGGTTCTCGCTTTTTCTGGCTTCCAACCCTTCAAGACGGCCCCAGAGGTCCCCAATAGCGCCCCAAGACGGCCCAACAGGCTTCAAGAGTGCTCCAAGACGGTCCAAGAGGGCGTCAAGACGGCCCAAGAGGCCCCCATGACACTTTAAGAGTCCCCCAAGACGGCCCCAAGAGGGGGCCCAGAGGAGGAGCCCGAACGGGAGTTTTTGAGCTTCATGTGCTCCCGCTGCTACCAGTTCGGTCGGAAGTGGTATTGGCTCCTCGCGTGGTCTAAGCTATCGGGGCTCGTCTCATTCGCCCCTCGTGTGGTCTGCGCTTTCGGGGTTCTTCTGAGCAAAGTGCTGTTTATGCAGGCAGCTGAGGCCTCGAGTTTGGAAGTGCATTAGGTCCCGTTGTGGCCTGAGTCTCCGGGTTTTCTTCTAATTAGCTCCCCGTGTGTGTCTGAGCCACCGGTTTTTTATTGAACAGATGCTGCTACTGCAGGCAGCTACACACTGTCACGCACAGACACACTTGCACTCACACTTGCACACTGCCACGCACGCCTACAAACACTTACACGCTCACACACACATGTATACGCACCTACACACTTACACATCCTTGCACATCCTTACACACACTTACACACACTTGCACACATCCACAGACATGTACACACATTCACACACGTTCACGCACACGCACTTGCACACACTTATACACACTTACGCAAACTTGCACACACTTACACTCACTTACACGCACCCACGCACACTTACACACACGTGCACACAAATACACTCTCTTACGCACACGTTCACACACTTGCGCACACTTAGGGCACATTCGTACACACTTGTACACTTACACATTTAGGCACGCACACCATTACACACACTTACACATACTTGCACACACTCACACACACTTACACACGCTGACACACATACATTCTTGTACACACGTACACACACTTACACGAACCTACACACACTTACACACACGTACACACATTCTCACATTTGCACACTTACACACTTACACACACGCGTACTCATACTCGCGCACATTCACACACACACCTGCACACCTACACATTTACACACACTTGCACGCACGTGCGCACATTTACGCACATCCTACTCACCTACACAAACTTACTCACGCACATGTACACACACTTACACACACACTTACAAACACACCTGAACACACGTACACACACTTCGCACACTTATACACACTTATACGCATTTACACACACACTTACACATACCTACACACACTTGCACACACTGACACACCACACGTACACACTTACACGCACTTGCACACACTTACACACTTACACACACTTGCACACATTTACACACACACTTGCACACATTCATATGCACCTGCATACGATAACACACACACGCAATCTTTGGCACACACACTTACACACTCACATACACACGTGCACATGCTTACGCGCACTTACACACTTACACATGTTTACACACGCACACACACACACACACTTGCACACACTTTCACACACCTGCATGCACTTTCGCACGCCTACACATACTCACGCACACTTACATGCTTACACACTTGCACACACTGTCACAAACACACACACACGCACATGTACGCACACGCTCACACATCTACACTCTTACACACACTTGCACACACGTGTACATACACACACATACACTTACACCCATACGCACATTTACATACCCACACACACGCACACACAAACACACACACACACACACGCGCGCACACACACACACGTATTCACACACAAATCACATATCTTGATGCATACCAGCTTCTCGTCAGGGTCCTGGCCCATTTCCCGCACATCCGCGTTACGCCTGTATTCCCCCTCCCCGAGGGGGCCCTGAGCTGCATATGGCTCCAAAACGGTGAAGTGTCTTTCGATGCGGCCGCAGGGTCCCAAGAGGCACTGAGGAGGGGCCAAGTGGACTCCGAGACGGCCCACGAGCGTCAAAGATGGCGTCGACGCGGCTCAGGAGGTCCCCAAGACTCCCCAAGAACGTTCCAACAGCCCCCCAAAGAGGACCCAACGAGGCCCAAATCTTTCCAGTCCATCAGGAAATCGTGCATGTTTGGCATGTTTTTTTTGGGGGGGGGTTCTTAACAGCGTCCAAGACGGCCCACGAGGCCCCAAGGTCGTCCCAAGACAGCTCCAGAGGCACCCAACAAGGACCTGAGACGTCCCAAGACGGCCCCAAGACGGTCTAATAGGCGCCCACCACGGCCCAAGGGGGCCCCAGGAGGAGCCCACTATGTGCCCAAGAGGGGACCGGCATTTCGAGCCCTCCGCCCCAAGAGGACCCCCGGGACCGTCAGCAAGCCCTTGAGAAGCCCGCAAGAGTGCCACACCATGCCCGCAAGAGGTCCCGAGGAGGCTCATGATGGGGCCCAGAGGCCGCCAAGAGATCCCAAGCGGCTTCAAAACTGCTTCTAAGACGTCTTCGAGGGGCATCTCGGAGTTCGATCCCAGCTTGCATTTAGCACGCTCGAGCTAATGTGGGGGTCACCGCTGCTCAGGCGCCAGCTCAGATATTCAATTGTTTCAGTTCCACCCTGGATGCCCACCCAGGACACCTTCAGATGCTTCAGGGATCGTGCTCCACCCTCTCCTTGACACAGTCTTGACAAGGAGTAGGATCATCAGAACATGCTGACGCTGCGGTGGGTGATGAAGATGATCCGGAGGAGGACAACTACAGTCGACCCGCAGAGTAAGGATAGGCATCCCTCCCAAGGGTACCCTTGCATCCTTGCCTCCTGGGTCTATCCTTGGACACTTTCGTTGGCCGCGCCCCGCTCGGGAAGCTTCGAAATGGGCGTCCAAGGGCCTTGCATCCTTATTGCGCATCCTTGCCCTGCGGGTTGGCTCTGCCCAGGTCCCAGCCAGGCCGTCGTCCAAGGCTGTGCCGACGCGCCCGTGCTAATCTCGGGGGTCGCTGCCGCCCAGGCGCTGGCTCCCAGGACCAGTGCAAGACGGCGCCAAGACCCAGCGCGGCTCAAGAGAGGGCCCAAGACGCACCAATATGGCCTCGAGCGTCCCCCTCGAGCCCAGGACCACCAGCCAGCTTGCAACCGGCCCCCGCCATGCCCCCACTGCGCCCAGAGAAACCTCCGCAGAGACCTTCAGCAGGCTTCAAGTATGCCAGGGGCTTCCCAGGGGCTGCCAAGAAAACTCGTTCAAAACTTTGGTCCCCACCGATCCTCGATCCATGCCTCCTCTCTCCCCCATGCCTCCTCTCTCCCCTCACTGGAGTTGGTTTTCCGGGCCATGAATCGAGACTCAGGCGGTCGACGAGGACGATTCGGACCCAGAGGGGGGAAGACAAGGGAAGGCCCAGGACTGCTCTACCTGCGTTTCATCAGAACGGCATGGACTGCGCTAGAATATAAACGCGCGCGAAGCGTGCGCGTGGTTCTATTATACGTCCGTGCATCGAGCATTCAGTCACGCACACCTACCTATACCTGTCTACACATACACAACATGTACATGTGTCTGCATACATGTATTTCGACAGAAAGGGGGATCGAAAGAGAGAGAGAGAGAGAGAGAGACAGAGACAGAGACAGAGAGAGAGAGAGAGGGACGGAGAGGGAGGGAGGGAGGGAGGGAGGGACGGAGGGAGAAGGAGTGAGGTGAGGAGGAGGTAGGGAGGGAGGAGGGAGGAAGAGGGAGGAGGGAAGGGAGGGAGGTCGGAGGGAAGGAGGAGAAGGAGGAGAGAGGAAGTGAGGGAGGAGGGAGGGAGGGACGCAGAAAAGGGCAGGACGGGCGCGCTGGGCGTGCCCGGGCGAGTGCCGGCGTGGTGGCGCCAGGTTGGCCGCCCAGCGCGCCACGCTGCGCTCAAAAGCGCGGGGTGCACACGGCCGGCTTCCTGCAGGGGTCCCCAAGAGGCTTCCCAGGAGCCCCCAAGAGGGGGCCACACGCGAACCCTGCCCCTGCCCCTGCTCGAGCCCCCCAGATTTCCCCGAGGGCCCTCCGGTGGGGGTTTCACGTCGCTTTCGTGAGCTCCCGATCGAAGTGGCCCCCCCCCCCCTCAGAAGTCGTGGGGGGCAGGGGCAGGGTTCGCGTGTGGCCCCCTACCCCAGAAGCCCCGTTCAGAACGTCGGTCCCTGTCGATCCTCGACCTCTCCCTCCCCCTCCCTCCCCCCTGGAGGCCCCGCAGAGATGGGCTCTGAGCAGGCGCCGGAGAGAGAGGGGCCGACGGGGGGCACGGCCACGACGACGACTGTGGCCAAGCCCAGGGCCACGGCCCTCCCGCGCAGGCCGGTAATTGGCCTGGCCTGGCCGCATCGTGCGGGCGGGACGTCTCCGCGCGTTGTCGTCTTCTTCTTCTTCTTCTTCTTCTTCTCCTTCCTCCTCTTCTTCTTCTTCGTCTTCTTCGTTTCTCATTTTTTTTGTTTTTTTTTTTTTTCCTTCCTCCTCTTCTTCTTCGTCTTCTTCGTCTTCTTCTTCTTCCTCCTCCTCCCTCCTCCCTCCTTCGTCCTTCCCCTCTCCCTTCACTCCATGTGGTCTCCGGGGCCAGGAGGCGGGCCTCAGGCGGCCGGCCGGGACGGTTCGGGCCCGGAGGAGGGGGGGGCAAAAGGGGGAGGCATCGCAGCGGCATGGGCTGCGCCAGAATGCAAGCGCGGGAGAGGCGTGCGCGTGCGAGTGCCCGTCGGGGTAGCGTAGGGTTAGGTGGGGGGCCTTCTATCGGCGTCGCACCAACATACTAGTACTACATGTGCGTCGCCCCCCCCCCCTCCCCCAGGGGCGACGCGCGCACCGAGAAATCTTATAGTATATATATGCGTCGTGGCGGGCGCTTTCTGGCCGCACCGCTCGGGAAACGATCTACTACAATATGGGTATATTGCATGTCAGGTTGGACGCGCGCCTCCAGGGAGTATATATAGTCTTAAGTCGTCCCTCCTTGAGGACTATTTCCGTATATTTTTTGGAGAGCTTGGGACTATTTTTACCTTCTCGTTCAAGAACTCCGCCTGCAGGGGGACCTGGCCCGACCTGAAGTATGGCACCCTGCGTGTCTCTGTGCCTCCCACGGCAGCGCCCGCTGGGAGGCCCCCGGGCA